GGACCCAGAACCCCCCTGCACCTATCTCCTTAACAGCTGGCAGGCTTTGTGGCTGCAGCAGGGCCTAGCAACCAGGCCTGCAGTAGTTTCCACCACCACCCCCCTATGCCCCAAGACAGACAGTTGCACAAGCACCCATGACACAAGTTTTGCCTGTCAGCAGCTAGAGGTGCAGGGCCCCAGAACCCAGAACCCCTGCTCCTATCTCCTTGAAAGCTGGTAGACTTTGTATCCTCAGCAGGGGCTAGTAGGCCTGCAGCTTTCACCCCACTGCGCCTTAACACATGCAGTGTCACCTATGTCATGGGTTTTGCTTGTCCGCAGCTTGAGGTACAGTTTCCCCCAAACCCCTGCACCTATCTCCTTGAAACTTGGCAGGCTTTGTGATCTCAGCAGGGGCTACCATCCCTGCAGTTTTCACTCCTGCCGTGCCTTAACACACACAGTGTCAGCTATGTCATGAGTTTTGCTTGTCAGCAGTTTGAGGTGTAGTTTCCCAGAAACCCCTGCACCTGTATCCTTGACACTTGGCAGGCTTTGTTGTCTCAGCAAGAGCTACTACCCCTGCAGCTTTCACCATACTGTGGCTTAATACACACACACGTGACATGAGTTTTGCTTTCAGGACTTTGAGGTGAAGTTTCCCAGAAACCCCTGTACCTATCACCTTGAAACTTGGCACACATCATGCTCCCAGAAGAGGCTACCATCCCTGTAAGTGTCATCTGAATCAGCCAGAAGACAACAAAGTTCTAGATATTTCATTGATTCCCCATTATGCTGTATGGCCGAATCTCCGAATCGACTCCAAATCGGCTTCGAATCTTCCAAAGCGATTCATCCGAATTGAATCGGGAAAATGATTTGGATGTCCATATCAAATCTCTGGCATCTGAATTGGCTGAATCCGAATTGAATAGTTCCCTATTCGCACAGGCCTAGTTTGCAGTACTGCAAACCTGTCTGCCGTGCCGCAAACCGCACATGCCTTTGCCACACTGCTAATTTGCCACACTGCTAATTTGCAGTGTACCTCAAACTGAATTTGCCACACTGCTAATTTGCAGCGTGTTTGTTTTTTTTTACCGGGAGATCCCAGTGCCAAGAAAACCTGCAGTAACAAAAGTGGGGCTGTGCACATGATGGCAGCATGCACTGCTCAAAACTGGAGCCTGGCCAGCCAGAGCCATGCTCAGGCTGCCAGCCAGGCTACATGTGCCTGGATTGCTGCTGTTGGAGCCCCAAAAGGCCCCTAGGACTCCAGGTAAGGCTGCTGGGGCCATCCCAGGTGCTGCCCCGGCCTTCCCTATCCTACCTGGGGAACCCTAGGATCACAAAGAAATCCCAACCAACGTCAGGATCCCATTCTTACGAGTTGCAAATGTACTTGAGGAACACTGTTCTGGCTCTGAAGATCAGAGGGGAAGCTGAGACAGAGAGGGGTGAAGTGACTTGCCAATATGTGACAGGGAAAATCAGTGGCAAAGGCAGACCCTCAGCTTTTCTAGCTCTTGGTAAGATGCTTTATTCAGTAGACCACAACATGTCTTGTCTGCTGACCTAACAAAGTATTAAGGTTTCCAGGAGGACGATTACATCAATTCTGGTATAAAGGAAGGTAATATTACAACACCCCAGTGGATGAACACAGTGCGTTTCAGAATCTAAACAGACGTGTGGACCCTAGCTTGGGTGTCTAACACGCACAGAACCCAATCCAGTGTCAGAGAAGATTCCCTGCCTCTGGCATTAATACTGAATACTGTACTCCTAGGGCAAAAAGGTGAGAAAAATAATATTCCAGTAAATTATACAGTGTACAGAGCACAGTTTCTAAAGGCTTTTGGCGTCAGGGATTGACTTTTTGTTTTCTGTGCAGTGCCTAGCATAGTGGGGACCTGGCCTGTGGCAAACTTAACCCCAGCCAATACACTGCAGAGTGTAATTCAGCCAGGTCATCTAAGCAGTGCAATGTGGAATGGTGTAAGGAGGATTATTTGCAGTGTTGATGGTATTATGCTGCATTTTGTGTCCACACTAGCTCAGACCTACTCAAGACTGGCACACTGAGGTCTGCTTCATTATCAGCTTTGCCTAAATCACATGTACCCTATGGACTGCATATGCAGCATGCGGAGAAATTGGGGGGTGTTCTAGACCTGTTGGGACCCTGAGTGGCTAGCCATACTTCTCAATTGCAGATAAGGTCCAAGATTGAACCATATTTAAAAGGAAAAGAGAATAGGTGGCAAGAGCATCAACAGTAGAAACTGTAAGGGTTATAACCTTTTGCCTGCCTCTCTCTTTGATGCCTGTCCTTCAAGTGGTATCTGATTTAGAAGGGTAGCTCCTTTTTGTCTTCTCAGCTTGTATGGAAGGTGCTGTGCTCACCTAAGGCTATGCATCAGAGCAGAGCACCAGCCTTTTCTGTTTAAGGGGTGATCATTCTAAACATTGAAATTGCTCTTGCTTGGTTGGATTATCTTGGATTTGCTGTGTCTCGTGAAGCAGCAGGGTAGGGTTAGCAATTCAGTTTGAGAGTCACTGCGGGGGAGGGGGTTGCCCAGATACAGCCCCCTCCACTTCTGACCCATACCACAGCTCTGATCACACCCCCATCTCATTCCTCAACATTTACCTCATTGAGTGCCTGCTGCCATTGCCCCTCTGGGGAAGGCTTATTGAAAATATTATTACAGGAAGAATAAGGTTCTCTGCACAGGCATCTATTAGCTGTACTGCCATGTGCAAGTCCAGGAAGCTTGCCTGAAGGGTTTTCAGCTAGCGCATTTGCATGTGAACTGGGTGACTCAAACCTTACCCCTCCAGTCAAAACCAGAGAATGGTCTGAAGACATGCTGCTATGAACTGCTTCTGTCAAAGGATCTTTTTCTTCTGAGTGTAGCAGTGACCCAGAAAGGGCTCCATTATCTTTCTGAAACACAATAAATTACACTTATGAATGCTTGCTGGGGTGGGAGGAGGATATAGGGAGAGGGGCTTGTGACTGGGGTGAGGGAAGAAGGACTGTATAGGGGAATGGGCTAAATAAGAATGGCTAGTAGGGGAGGGTGGAGGAACTGGGGAGGTTCAGGCCAAGGGGAGCAGGGAGAGAGATGGGTGGCAGCCAGGGTGAAGGGATACTAGGTGGGTGTCAGTTCAGCAGACAGGTTATTAGGAACAGGATCCTGTAACCTCCACATCCTCCCTTCCCCTGTGTGTGCTGAGATCTCAGCATGCCTGACTGGAAGGAAACTGAGTGCTTATCCTTGTCTTATACATAAGGCCTAAAAACAATCTCACCTTATTCTCTTCTTCTGATGTGGGCACTTGTGGCTTTCCATAACAAACAGGAGCAGCCCTCCAGCCCCGCTATTCTGCCACTGGCAAGCAGCTAATGACGGCTGCCTCAGAAGGAAAACCCATGATGCTCCTGGCCAGATAAGCATTGCTGGGTATTATGGGGCTTGGGATTCCCCATGAGCTCTGGGGAATCAGTTGGTATTTTGGAACATGGAGGTGTCATCTCTTCCATGTTGCAGTTTTATCATCCTGTCCCTTTAAGAACCCAAACCTTTTCTAAGGAGGCTGACCTCTCCTGCATTCAGGTCACTCTAAAGGTAGATGCAGGTGACTTTTCAGTGGGCCCTAAAGAGTGAGCCTGCCTGCATGTGGGGAGGTGGGAGGTAACACCCTACAGAGAATGCCAACTGTCTTGCAGGTGTGATGCAATGGTCAATGAGCTGAAATGCTAGGAGTGAGTGGGTTCCTTGAAGTGTGAATGCATAAGGAGAGCCACCAGCAGAACATGGGGGATCTCAGGTGAAGCAAATACCCCTGTGTGGGACAGATGGGACCTGGATCTCAAGTCATTTACTTTGCTTGAAGAGAAACAAGTATGCATTGAGGGATAAAACACTGGGCTTTTTTTCTCTTTGGAGAGAGATCTGCAATTCCTTTGCTGCTCCCCACAAACATCCAAATAGAATGTGTGCCTTGATTCTTGAAGACAGAATGTAGAAAAAAAGATTTTTCCTGAGTCATGGGCAACTGTGATATACAGTAAATCCTCTTGGAAACCTAGTATCCAAGAAGTGGGGCATTCAGAACAGCAACAAAGCTCGGACCCAGACTCTGCCAAAGATAGTAGCAAGACTGTTATTTCCTTACTGTAAATAGTTTTCTATATAAGTTCTTGGAAATAATAAAACATAGTTTCAACATCAAAAAACTCATCAAGATCCTACAGACTGCATGCAGCAGCTCACTCACCCTCACCAACAGCTATAAGAGGGTTAACATTGGCTTCTGCCTCTGCTGCTTGCAACTGGAGGGCAAAGGGGCAGGAATTTTGGCAGCCATGAGTCACCGTGTCTGCTTGCCCTAGTCCACCCTGCCTATTCCAGCAAAGAAAACTCAGCTTCCCCACTTAAGACATGCACCCTAATTTTGGAGGGCTGATTTTGGAGAAAAAGTTGCATATAATATGCGAGTTAATATCGTATTTATTACAGTGCATAAAAAAATTTGACTGGAAACCCTTTTTTAAAACAAACGAAAAAAATGCATGAATAGTCGTAATGTAATATTATAATTAATGAGACACTTGAGCCTAATGGTTCTTGCAAATATCTATCAAGTAAAAGTCCATAGCTAAATCGCTTTCACTGCACTGCCTCAGCTAACCTATGGGGAGATGGCATGGCTGAGCCACCAACCTGGGTAAGTGAGGAAACGGGACACATGCTGAAACCTAAGTCAGTGCTGCTGTTCCAGGCAGGGAACCAAGGCACACACACTTAGGAAATTAGCATAAAGTGTCACTGTTTTACATAATGGAAAAAGCCACAGTCTATTTTATTCAGTAATTAAACTGGTTTCCAGTAACCCCAGATAATTGCACAGTTGCTATACCCAGTCTTATTTACCCAGTCACTATTAGCTGCTTTAAGTTCATGTAGTAGCCACAGTTTTATAGCACACTGTATTTCCCTGTGCAGGAAACTGGGAGCCCACCGATGCTCCTGACCCTGCAGCTGAAAGATTTTGAAAACTCTGGGACACGCCTGGGGATAAACTTGATCCCAGCACGAACTCCCTCTCCTGCCACTGCTGCTTCCCAGTGCGTGTCCTGGAAACAGAGGTGAATGGGGCAGTTCCATATTGCTGGCACCTGGGAAAGGATCTTGCAGCAGCCTGGTGAAGAACCACAGATCTAGGGCCTCTCCCAAATCATCCCCTCTATTTGTGCCCCTTTGGGTTCTGTCAGCCCTGCTTAGAAAGCACTTTTTCTTTCCACAGGGACAGAATGCAACTGAAAATTTCATTTCTGCCTGAAAATGTTGTACCTGGAAACTACAAATGTTCCTCTCCTTAAAGCTGCTCACAACAATAAAGCCTCCCTGAATCTTCTACTTCTTATTTCATTGTTACTTTTATAGCACTTTTCCTCTAATGACTTTCACTACATCCCTAATCCTGCAAAAACACTTGTGCCTTACTCAGGTGATGTATCTCACAGACTTTAAAGGGACTAATATGGAAGTACTTTGTCAGGTGCACTGTTATGGCACTGACAGCATTGGATGGAGTAAGCTGTATCCTACAAAAATGCATGCTTCTCTGAACAAGTGGTTTATAGCTTGCACTGCCTTTTGCCTAACTTCAGACTAACATGGCTAACTACCTACTTTACATTCAGCATCTCATCCTCAAGGCATCCGTGCTAATGGCACTGAGGGATCGTTATGACCTTGAGTGCCAGTGCATCCTTCACAGTGCCTCCACATCTTCGTGATGTTTAAACATCACTGCATCTATGTATGCAGTGAGGGGCTCACAGAAAGGGGCTTGATATATGACTGAAGACAGGAAAGGTAATGCAGTATGTTGACACACTAAACCTGATACCATGGTTTCTACCCAGTCAATTGGCTCCTCAGAGAGTACTTCATAATGCTGAGGTGGGCTCTAGCACTGCGCCACTGCTCACAGCAGTGGATGGAGTCCATTTCACTGAGCATGGATGCGCTTAACTGGGATGTCTCAGGGGAACTGACCCAATCTCAGGGGTACATTAGTAAGGTGCTGCTTCCTGGGGAAGGTTGCTCTGCTCTGCTCTGCTCCAGGGGAATGCTTTCAGGAGATGCTGTTGGTCTAAGGGCTGCAGGCATCCAACGTCCTGCACATTCTGGTTGTATGCTCCTACTACAGCAGCCCACAGTTCAGAAGAGTCCCAAAGTTTTCACCATTGCCTCCTCCCAGACACTGCAGTGCTTTTTAGAACAGTGGAATCAACAAGTTGGGAGGAACCTCCAGGGTCATCTCATCTAGATCTCTGCACAGATGGAGGATTTCCTCTCCCTAAACCATCCTGCTGTCCAGAAGGTGTCTCCAGTTCATCAGAAACTCATCTGTGTGGAAGCCATACATCCCATTGAGAGAGGTTTCCTGCCCAACACCCGTGCCCTTGACCAAGCCCCTCACTCTTAGCTCCTCCCAGAGGACCATCCCTAGGTGAGAATGCCCAGTGACAAGACAGCTCAGTGCACTTAGCCTTCAGGAAGCACCCAGCAGCTCCTTCGGCATCCTGCCCATGCTATCTGGCCCCTGGGCTGTCTGAGCTTCTCCCTGCTGCAGGATGGGGCTGTCCTCTCCTGTGCAATATCAGCATGCCCACAGTAGGGCAGACCTGCAGGATCAGTGGGAGTTTGGGATGAGTCTTAAAGGGTTGGCAGCAGTTTGGGTTCCAGGTAAGCATGCTCAGCTGCAAGGAAGCACTATAGGACCCTTCCTGCCAGTGAAGATTCCTACCCATCCTCCTCTCCAGGGCAGCCTTCATCAGTCTAGTCCAGTGCTTTTCAACCAATGTGCAGTGAAGAACTCCCTGGTGTGCCACGAGAATTTTGGAATAATGAGAAGAAAGTTCTCCAGCTGCTAGCGCTAACAAATAAGCTGCATCAATGAGATATTCACAGAAGACTTGCGCATGTTTTGGCTGGGGGGGAGGTGGAGAGAGAACCAGCTAAGCAGAAGGTAATTCATCTACTACATATGTGTTTAGTGTGGGGGATGCACGGTTCATGAGTCTCTGAGAAGCTGTGCTGTGGAATTTTGCCACGGCAATGAGCCAGAATGAGCTCGTAAGTCTGGGGATGGGGAATGTCTTAACAGGTGTGTCATGGAAATTTTTTATTAATGTAAGTGTGTCTTGGGCTGGAAAAGGTTGGGAAACACTGGTCTAGCACAGTGATTCTCAACTTTCTGGTCTCAAGGCCCCTCCATAACATTTGTGAATTGTCACCCAATTTCAAAAACTAATTTATAGATTACAGTGCTTGCCTCCTTGCAGAAGGGTCTGGCAGTGGTGATGGAGTTTTGTCCAGGCACAGATAAGCCAGAGCCTGCGCTATCTGCTTAGTTTATCAACATCTTCTCACAGCTCACTTATCTCCTCACACCTCATGACACCCTTCAAAACATCTTGCCATACTAGAATGCCCTGGCATCCTGGTTAAAAATCATTGGTCTAGTAAATGGCCTAGATTTTTGTTTGCCTGGGCACAAACTGAAGAGGTGCCAAACCCAACAAAAGCAAAGAGAGAGCTCCAGATAGATTTACCTGCAGGGCTGTGGCAGACAGATGGGGAGCGCCGAACTCGACCACTATGGCATTTTATTAGCTCTTATGTCATCCGGCTGAGCAGTTGCCCGGTGGCTGACATAAAAGGGCTGCACTGAGCTGGGAAGTTTAAAGAAGGTATGGACCTGGCAGAAGGAGAGAGAGTGGGAGATGGGGATGCCAGAAGGAGTCTGGTTCCCATGCTTACCCCTGGGAAAGGGCCTCTGGAGGAAATGCCGGGGCAAAGAAGGGGGAGGGAGCACCAGTTGAGCCAGGGACTCAAGGGACCTGCAGGGAAGGCCCTGAACTTGAAGGCATGCCTATTCAATACACCAGACCAGCCTGACCTGAAGTAAGGACAGAAGGAATCATTAAGACCAGGAAGACTTCGGGTGTATCCCCATCCTAAGAGGCACTGAGGTCCCAGAAGTGGTTGGGCCTGAGAAAAAGGGCAACCCAGTTCATCCATAGAGACACATCATTTTGGGGATGATTACTTGCTTTGATTGTTTCCTGGACTGGGTTCTGGAGAGATGATATCCGACTGATAGCAGTTGAGGCACAGGACCCTGACATCGCTAACCAAGAGAATCACATGTACCTGGCAACAACGCAGCTGGAGTGTGGATGGGGTGTAGGTGAGGTGGAGCCCCACATCACTGGGACATCGCATCATGAGTAACCCCATTGGACACCCCAAATTACACCATTGACTCCTCCTTATCTTTATTGTAACAACTCAGGCATAGTGGGTGAGAGGGAGGTGTTCCTTCCGTGGGGAGATAGACCCTTCACGGAGGTCTATCCCTGTGACAACCAAGCTCTTTCTCAATGAGCCCATTTCAATCCTTTTTTACTGACATGCCAGAGAAACTCCAAACACAGAACAATTCACAGACTGAGATGCTGCTTATACTGCTCTGCACCCCAAATCTTCACTATAAGAATGACAAGGCATGAAATCTGTTGGCACAGCACCAGGAGCCATGCAGAATTTGAGACCCAGCTATTCAATCCCAGTCTCCACTGATACTGCAATAAAGCTAATGGACTTTTATTGAGTTCTGATGAGCAGCTGTGCTGAGGGTGGGGGTGGGGTCCCATTACTCTGGTGAAATGACCAAGCCTGCTTTCCCGAGTGCTTCCTGGCAGCACCAGAGATGAGGAAAAGTGTCTTGGTTTACACTTGCTAATCTAAAAAATGCTCTTGGCTGGCTTCAGGCTGCCTAGATTTTTCCTCCTGGTTCATCAGGGAAGGTCCCTTAACTGCAGGCCCCCTGACTCCCTGTTTCTATGGCCTCTTTCAACAAGAAGAGCCCCTGCTTTGTTGTTCCATCCTTCTGAAAACTCATTAGGTATCTCCCAGGGGCCCCAGTGTTCTGTTCTATCTGTTCTGTTCTCTGGGTTGGTAGATTCTCCTTTTCCCATTGCTGCCCAGATTTCTCTCTCTCCATGCTGCCTTCCTCTGGCCCATTAGCTGAGGCATGATTTTTTAACCATTTTGTGCTCCTTTGACTGTCTGCAGCCTGTGCCTGGGTGAGTGTGTCTCTGAATTGGTGCCACGGCACTGGATCCAACCTGTGGGCCCTATAGCAGTTTGGCATTCACTGGAAAGGGAGAGAACAAGAGCGGAGGAGAAAGCAGTGAGGTGATGGCTCATCTAACCTGTCCCTTAGCTGGCTGCCCCCAAGTGTCAATGTTGTTGTGGAGGGCTGCAGAGCAGGTCCTAAATCTCACAGGTCCTTAGTTCTGAGGGTCTTTCTCTGTGAATGGCCACCAGGCTCTTTGATTAGACACATGCCATTGAGCCCAGTGCTCACTAGAGCCTCCTCCGTGCCCTCTGCAGCCCCTCACAGATGGCAGCAGGCACTAATTCACCCTTCTTCTGCATCCTGCAGCACTATTACACCTGGCCAAAGCAAGTTCTGCAATCTGGGGACATTTCATCCCCCCCACACACCCCCTTGCATTCTGCTCTCCCCTTGCTCCTTGGCTCCAACTCTGGTCATGGGGCATTCCTATCCCCCAGTAACTGGCAGATCTGATTGTGGTTCCTGCTCTCTCTTTGGGGAGAGGCTGTCTGACAGAGGTGATGAAACAGCTCCTTCTCCTGTTGTCAGATGCTTTCCTAGAC